TGCGCTATCTGTCTCTCATGGACTACCCTTATGATGCAGGACTATATTTGCTGACATAATCAGTTTGATCAGCAATCTATCTAGTCTAGTGTTTTACCTCTATCTGATAATAAGCACTTAATGTTTCAAGAGTCTAACAAACCTGGTTACTTCAACTGAGCAATGTTATATATGACAGGAATAGTCCTTTCTGACCTTATGAGCTGATGTAGTCATTATATGAGGTGTAGTTACTTTTAGTAATTAAAGGTAGAGAAAAAGAACATTGAAATACAATCTCTAAAGGCCTTGAGGTCAAACCTACATGTTAATGGCATTTTGTTTGCAGTGCCACAGTGCTGTGACAGTTATAATATTATCTATTCTAATTTTGCTCAGAGGAATTGGATTTCAAATAAACCTATTCCAAAAAGAAGCATAAAACAGAGCTAAACTGAAGCCATCATCCTGTTAGTACCATAAGTTGCTTAATAACATGCTATGATTAAACATTTTGACCTTGACAAGTTACCAGTAAAAAAGGGGGGAAAAGTATATGTAGTCCTTATAATGTTACTGTTTTTCTTCAGAGGCACAATTTTTACTTGACTTTGGTGAAGTAATGATTATTGCTCATATTTCTGAAGTACTGTAAGTTCTGAAGTCTGTAATATTAATTCCTTTAAAAACATAGAAAAAATGTATTAGCGAACCCTCTTTACACTATGGTTTTAGAATAGGAGAGGCTTTTCAGTCAATTATTTATGTGCAATAAGTACTGAAAGCCTTATTATCTCAGAATAATCAATGTTTGGCTGAAGCGTGAGAACACTAATAGCTAATCTTAAAAGTCCTGATCCAGTGTCATTTGAAATAATGACAGAACTCCCATTGATTTTAAGCAAAGGAGGATGAGGCCAAAAAGTATTTCTTTGAGAGATAATTTTAGATCATCAGTGGAAAACATCTGTAAAAGAGCAGAAAACTTGACTTTCATTCTCTGCACAATATGCTATGAAGTATTTTGGCAGACAGGAGCTCTTGACTTCAAAATGATGTATATCTGTATTTTCTATTGCCTTGGGGAGCTTTGTTTAAGAGTGTATCTACTGAGCTGGTGTTACTGTCTCTGGGAATAGACAAATGACAACTTGAAAAGTTACAAGCGAACTGAGAAGGAGTAGGGAGACTTAGTGAAATACTGAAATATCTGCATATCTTTGTGTTTAACACTCAAGTTACTTCTTTTCCCTTGAATCTCCAGCAAATTCTTCTCTCTCTCATTCTGGTGGGGCCTTTTGTTGTTATCTCTCTTCAGCAACTCTGATAGTTTGCCTGCGTCAGTGCAGAGCGGTTTGTGGTATGTGAGAGCCTCTCTCTTCCTGGGATGCCTGGAAGATAATAGCAGAAATGAAGGAAGTGACACCAAAATGCAAGAGATAGTACCAGTGCTTTGAGAAGCCTTTTGATGAAAGGTCTGGTGCAGGCTTAGACTTACGGGTGTTTTGTCAGCTTGTAGGGCAGGGCTGGACAAAGAAGCCGCGGAGGTATTCAAAGGCTGCAGGGGAGGAGGAAAGAGGAGTTTCTGGTGTTCAGTGAACCATTCCGTTCTCAGACGGGGACTGCTGTTCTCTGAGTTGGCACAAATGATGAAGGGTGGATGTTGGCTGCATTTGAAGGAAGTTCTGAAATGTGATTTATTTATTATTTAAAAAAATAACGACCAAACAGGCCTCCAGAACTCAACCTGCTTATCCATCCAAGCCAAAAATGCTATCAGAACTTAATTTTAAAGGTTGTTTCTTCTCATTTATGTATCTACACAGAATAGGAAAACCAAGAGAGAAGACAGGAATGGTTCTGATGAATGCAGCAGTGATTTAAAAAAAGAAAAGAAAAGAAAAGAAAAGAAAAGAAAAAGTAGGTGTGCGCTGTACTGTCTTTTCTGCTGGGGTATGGTGTGGCAAACTTTGTATTGCCCTTGTTAAAAGAAAGGTAGATTCTGTTTAATACTGCTAATCTGTGAATGCACTTTGGGAGTGGGTGCGTGTCTGTTTATGAATTGAGTAGGAGAGTTTATTTTCTGAAGCATGGAACCCCTTTCCTGTTCTTTTACTAGCAGTGCTATCAGCACTGAGTGGCAAAGTAAAAAAGCTTTCCTCTGGTAAGGAAGAGGCAGCATCAGGAAGCAGCCTGCAGATAAGCAGATATCACTAAGTAGGGAAGTAGGGCAGATACCCTGAGACAGCATCTGGCAGGACAAGGGAAGAGACATGAACTCTCCTTTCCAGAGAAGGAGCTGTAGGGACCCAGCTCCTACGAAAACAGCCAAAAGTTCTGAAACTCCATAATATTTAGATGCTGAGCTCACACTGATTTCAGTCTTAACAAGTGCTATATTTAGTTTCACTTATGTTCCTTAACAGAATCCCAGTCCAGTTTAGGAACCTGGTGGCCTCAAATAACTTGAAAATTTTAGCAGGTTTTTTGCCTTTTTCGACCTTAGCTTTTACTATACCTACAAATAGGAAACTAAATACTGATCTTGGCAAACTATATTCAGTAGTCCACGTATCTTTTCATCTATATACTTATATAGACAATAAAATCATAATATCAGAATGTAGCAAAAATTGTGAGAGTATTGCTAAATTATTTAAGAATACTCTGTTTAATAAACCAGAGGGGGATTTTCCCCCTGTAAAAGAGTGGGGCACATTCTCTCATTTCTCATTCAGTCACACATTAAGACAGATTTGACCAAGTATTTTTAGTTAGAGATTTGGAGCAGCTAAAGTAAGAAATCCTCTTAATAAAAATAGGAGCTTTTTTTAAACTATCTTTTATACCAGTTTAATTCCATTGACTTCACAAGATTTATTCCTAATACATTCTGATAGGAAAAAAGTACCAGGTTGTGGGCTCTTTTCTTTTACTCTGGGGGGATAACATTGTCACTGTGCTTGAGTCCTTCAAATGAAAGAACTATTTCCTATACCATTTCATTTTTACTAGTTGATGACATGCTACAATACACAGGTAAATAAGTACCAAATATGAATATACAATACAATCATTACTTATTTCGCCCATGATGAAGATACTTTTCTGGTTTTTGTAAAGCATCGCAAGTCATCCTGGGTTTTCCCATAGGACTGCAAGGTGGGGTCCAAGTGATGTGGACAGGAGAGAGGCAAGTCAGAAGCACTCTATAAACTTCAGCGATTTTCATCAATTTTACTTTGAATGACAATAAATATAAAGCTTCTCTCTTCCAGGGGAATATTTCTCAGTAAACTGTGTTTACCAACAGCTTTCAAATTTCAACCTTATGCTGTTGTTATTAAATGAAACAGAATTGTGGGAGAGAGACTTTTTTTAAAATTTATCTTATATTAGACCAGCTGATATCATTGGATGAAAACCAGACAAGCTTCCAGGTTCAGAAATCCTTCCCCAGTTTTGAAACAGAAGCCAATATCAAGCCAAGTGTGGGCTGGTGACAGTTGTTTTAACTTTGTTATGGTGCTCAGTTGAATAAATAGAACAGAAAAAGGTATCTGACACCTGGCAGCAGATATCTTAGTGAAGGCAGTGGTGATAAGTTTGCAATAAATGTGTCTGAAATAGCTAACAGAGTCCGAGGGTGCTGCTATGGTTAAAAAGAGAGTAGAGGCAAGGGACAAGAAAACTTGAAAAGCAAAAATTTGGGCAGGTGCAATTCGCCAAATTCAACTATACAATAAATATTTTGGGAGAGACTAATTGAATCACAAGTCAAAACCTCATTTTCATAGGAACGCAAAAAGCTATAGGGGTCTCTTTCAGTATCACGTCTCCAACAGTGACTGACAAAAAGTAGGTGCTTAAAAAGTAATTTTAAGCCTTTGGATGTTTAGACTTTCTTAAAGCTATAAAATATTTGTAAATCTCTAAGGGTAGGACAGTGAGCAGTCCAAGCTAGTTACACGGGACTCTCAAAGGTGAAAAACAGAAGTGCTGTAAAAGTGACTTAATGTTGTATTGAAATAGATATTTAGGGCTGTTTCTCTCCATTCACTCTAAAAGCAGTCAAGAGCAAGTAACTCGGGTCTAGGCAGTTAACTTCCAAAGTGAACTTCTGACAACTGAAGTGAATCTCCCTCAAGTCTCCAGCATCTGAAAACAGAGTAGGGTTGCAGGACTGGCCCTGAACAGCGACCCAGGACCCTCTGCATTGCCAGGGGCTGTTCCCAGTAGGCATTTGGATGTGTGCTGTCTCCCCTTTGGGAAGGGAAGAGTTGAGTGAACGCAAGCCCTGCTGTGCCACTTGGCCTCAGTGCCAGAAGGCAGACTGGGACCTGTCTTCTTTAGCCAGCATCAACACAGACTCACAAGTCCCTAAACCTTAAAAATCTGCACCCTGGTGCAGTTTTCAGAAGTGCCTACATTGCATTAGTTTTAGCCTAAAACCTAGATGAGATCTTGCCAGAAATTGTATCTTTTTTATAAAGGTAATTAATTCTGTGTTTATCCATGCATTCATTCTTGGGGCATTAAATTTAAATGGAGATTATTCTTTTAAATGTTTGTATAGATCTCTGCAGCTCTTTATTTTGTTATTCCTTGCTAAAACAAAGCCATTGCTGCAGAAGTGGTTTATGTGTTTTTTTTAAAAAATATTATTCTCCAGTTTAATAAGAAGCACTAGGAAACCTTAGTAACTCTTCCTTTTTAAAAATGAGGTTTTGTTCACTGAAAACTGCAAAAAACGACTGGACACTTGATATTTGAGTTCCCTAGGAAGCTCATACGGTGCTGAGTTTGTGCTCGCAAGCTGACCTTTTTTCATTAGGTAAGAAAAAAAAACCACTTTATGAAAGTCATGTTGAAGATAAGATCAGCATGGTGGGCTGGTAATTACATAAAGTAATGTTCAGTCATTAGAGAAAATGTACAGTTGATCCTATGGCTTAGATGTGGGCGAGGAATATGATCTAGCTTTGCTGGTATAAAAGAAAGATGCAACTTTTTCGTACCTCAGTTTCGGGAACATACATCTAAGCTTTACGAACAGCTCATCTTCAAACATCATCCTGTGGTTTCTCAGCTGTCTGATTTATCCTTGTTCAACAAGGGAGGTAATATATTTTTTAAATTTTGTTAAAGAGGAACAGTTACATATTTTCTGACATCCTCTTTCCTTTCTCTCCAAAAGTTTTCTTCTCCTTTCATTCTACCACAGCTGTTACTTTGAAAATTAACTTGAAGTTTGCATTGGGACTAAAACATCAGTGCTTGAGGTTAAACTAGCTTCTTTAGGTATTGCAGCTAAATGTTGATATTTTGTGATTGCTGATCAGGTCTGGTAATTCTTCATGGGTAACTTTGTGTTTTTCTCCTGATTAATGGTGGTGGTGTCAAATAGCAAACCTGTTACACAACCTGTGGTACTAAAACATCTTTTGGAGTCTTAAATTGCCAGTCATGATTAAATATGTTAAGGGAAAGAAGAAAAATGTTACTTAAGATATCTCAGTCTTCAGCAGTTTGCTAGCAGGTTACTGTGTAGATGACACTGGGTTGCAAATGAAGCACTGGTGATTGTAGTTCATGGTTGCTGTAACACAGCCGTACCTCATGCCAGAAAGTATGGCAGAAAGAAATGAACACAATGTGCAAAGTGTTCAACTGCTCTTTTGAGCACCACCGTCACCCTATGGAGAAGTATAGAGGCATGTCCCAAGTTTATGCTGAAAACATTGGATTATTTCATGCAACTAATACAAAGGATGCCCATTGAACAGAGCTTGGTGGCATGTCTGTGCCAGGACATACACCACAGACTTAGACAAGGGATTCTGTTGAACATGAGCCAGCAGTGTGCCCAGGTGGCCCAGAAGACCAGTGGCATCCTGGCTTGTATCAGAAATAGTGTCGCCAGCAGGAGCAGGGATGTGATTCTGCCCCTGTGCTCAGCACTGGTGAGGCCTCCCCTCGAGCCCTGTGTGCAGGGCTGGGCCCCTCACTGCAAGAAAGACACTGAGGGGGCTGGGGAAGGGACTGGAGGGAAAGTCCTGTAAGGAGAGGCTGAGGGAGCTGGGGGTGTTTAGTCTGGAGAAGAGGAGACTCAGGGGGGACCTTATCTCTCTCTCCAACTGCCTGAAGGGAGGTGGAAGTCAGGTGGGGGTCGAGCTCTTCTCTTGGGCAACCATTGACAGGATGAGAGGACTTGGCCTGAAACTGTGTCAGAGAAGGTTTAGGTTGGATCTCAGGAAGCCCTTCCTCACGGAGAGGATGCTCAGGCACTGGGATGCACTGCCCAGGGAAGGGGTGGAGTCACCGTCCCTGGAGGTGTTTAAGGAGAGGCTGGATGTGGCACTTAGTGCCGTGGTCTAGCCGATGTATCATAGAATCATAGAATTGTAAGGGTTGGAAGAGTCCTTAAAAATCATAGAATTGTCAGGATTGGAAGGGACCTTAAAGATCATCTAGTTCCAACCCCCCTGCCATGGGCAGGGACATCCCCCACTAGATCAGGCTGCTCAGAGCCCCATCCAGCCTGGCCTTAAAAACTTCCAGGGATGGGGCTTCCACCACCTCACTGGGCAACCTGTGCCAGTGTCTCACCACCCTCATGGTGAAGAACTTCTTCCTAACGTCCAATCTGATACGATGGTGTTGGGTCATAGGCTGGACTTGATCTCAGAGGTCTTTGCCAGCCTCAACAATTCTGTGATTCTGTAAAGGCATCCACAGAGTCCCATGCATACCTAAACAGAAGACTTGTTTGCAAATACAGGTGATTGCCTGTCTTTGTAATGGTAGCTGATAACATGATAACTTATTTACAGAAAAAGACAAGATATTGTCAATAATGAAGCGAGACTTTACCTTCTGTGGAAGACCTAAAATTATCATCTTTCTAAAGAGCTGCTGAAGCTCATACATTATATGATGTTCCAATAGCTTAAGAAAGATAATATTTAATAGAGCAAAGTAAAACCTTCCTTTGATTTGGTGGAGAGACGAGATGAGTGGTGTAGACACTAGGTGGCTTAGCAGCATGGGCAGTCAGAAAACCAGGTAAGACCATCAGGCAAAATGGCTGTGACATTGAAAGAGTAGAGAAGATCACACATGGGTTATATTGATAAGTATCTTTGGTGGTTTTGGTATGAGCCTACAGTCTCACTCAATAGAGGAAGTGCAAAACTGCAATTTCAATTCCTCTTTTGGTTAATGTAATTTAAACAACTTCCCTCTGGGATTGCCTCAAACCTTTGTAAAGTAGCAAATTATAGCATTATGTATCCTTAGAAACATTAGGATGGAGAAGGCCACTGTGCCTTCAGCAAAGAACATGAAATCATAGAATAACCAGTCAAGGATTGTGGTGTTATTCCTGTAGCTGGCATGTTATTGGAGCCATTGGAGCATCCAGGCTATCAAAAGGTTCAGGGTAATGTGGAAAGAGGTTGTTTGGAAAAGTCTCTCTGTCTTTTCCTGCTGGTGCATGAACCCCTCCAGCCAGCTCCTTGCACTCTGGGGAATGCCCCTTGGATGGAGCAGGGCTTGACATTAAACTGTGGCGTGCTCAGGCAAGTCTGTCAGCAGTCACATCCCCTCCATGGGGCTGGAGAGAGCATATACAATTAATAACCTCAAAAAAAGCCTTATTTTCTAAAGGGAAGGGTTCAGCTAATTTATTTGGCGTGACTCCATACATGCAGCTGAGCTCAGTTCAGTTCCCAAAATGCCTGGCAGGACCACAGGAGGCTGTGGGTCTAAATGGTGTGAAGGACCACATTTCTCCGGCAGTCACGGGTTACTCTTGTTGAGGGAACAGGGCACAGAGAGCTGTCAGCTGCTTCTCAGAAACCTGAGAGCCATGTTCAACACTTCCATGGGGCTACTGTGTTAAAAGCATGTCCTGTTTCCTTTGCCACCAGTTCACTAACATAAGAAGACTCTTTCTTTTACTTGGATGGGTTTTTGGTAAAAGCCCAAGCAGAGATCAGTAACTACAAGCTGCATTCAGCCTTCATGCATACCCGCATACATACACTGAACTGGCTTTGATACCTCTTCCAAATGCTTCTTTCCAGTGCTTCCGCAGCGATTTCTGCCAGTGGTTCATTATTGGCTGGTTTTAACTACTAACATAAGAAGACTCTTTCTTTTACTTGGATGGGTTTTTGGTAAAAGCCCAAGCAGAGATCAGTAACTACAAGATGCATTCAGCCTTCATGCATACCCGCATACATACACTGAACTGGCTTTGATACCTCTTCCAAATGCTTCTTTCCAGTGCTTCCGCGATTTCTGCCAGTGGTTCATTATTGGCTAGTTTTAACTCCTTTATTCTCTGTTTCCTGCCAGCATGAACTGACTCAGTGGGCAGGTGGAAGGGAGGAGGCAAAGTTACCTGTACCCAGCACCCAACCCTTGCCACCTGTTAATTGCAACTTCATTGGCCTCTTAGCCATTCAGCTTAGCTGGGCTTCAGATCAGTCTCTTACCTCTAGGTTTTGCTGTCTTAATTAGAAGGAGGCTCGTTTCCACTTTTGTGCCTTCATTCATTGTACTGGAGGGCACTGCACATCAATCTTGCACATAACCTTTGTTTCTTTCCACTTTGCTAACCCCAGTCAGGCAAGGGCCATATTCTTGTCACCCTGCCTTTGGTCTCAGCCTCATCTGCCTGCCCATGATCTTTTTTTGATTGCTGCAGGGACAGAGCCCTCTTTGATTTTGTTTCCTGGTTTCAGAGTTACCTTGTAGGATGTGTGCTCTACTGCCATCTGAACTGCTACCTTTGATGACTGCGTTGTACATCTGTTTAATCAATGAACTAAGACCTGCTGACCTGTGCTTAGAAGCCTCACATCCCCATATATATCTGGGAATTTGTGCAGTGATGGAGCATCCCCCTGTTAATCAATACTCTCTTTGCACACATCCCAGTGCTCCAGGTTCACTTTCAGATAATGACACCGGGCAAGCGGTGCCACTCCCTGGACCACCTCAGGTTTGCCTCTCCCTCCAAATGTGAGTGGGCATTGTTTGAATATTCGCATCGTGGCAGTCCTTCCAGGGATTCTGATGGGTGGGCACAAAATCTGCAAAGAAATATGTTTGCGTTATGTGAAAAATATCTTAGTTTAATTACACTTGATTTTTTACTGTCTTTTCTGGCTCGGGTTAGCAGAGCCTTCTCTGATCAGCATAGCATGCTTAAATAATCTTTACACCAAATCTCAAGATCAATTTCTTTCGTGCTGACATTATTGTCCTTCCTAATGCCATCTCATTTTTTAGAAATAGTTGTGGCCACAATTCAATCTGTCCCTAGAGAACATTTATCACAGAGTAGCAACATTCACTGGTGTATTTGGAAGAAGAAAAGCTCTTAAGTAGTTAGGGATTGAATGTTAAAATGTGTATATCAGTGTTGTCAGCTTGGAGCCTTATCCCGCACATCAGTCACTAGCACATCCTGCTCTTGTGTGACAGTTTCAGTCTTTTAAAGTCAAGGGATCAGGTGGTCTACGAAGGCACAGAAGAACTTCAAAAGATCCAGTTGCAAGACTCTGGAGATGCTGTCAGCACTGCAGTTCAGACAACAGCCCAAACAAGCTGTCAGTTAGCTCCAGGCATGGCCTAGGGGGGTGACTGTAGAGGAGGAGAGATCTGCATGATCAGATAATGTTTCTGAGAAGGCAGGTAAATAGTTTGCAGGTTTGCGGTGCTGCCTGGGGCACTTGGCTAAAGCCAGTCAGGATCAACTGGTGCCAGTGAAGCAGGCGCTGCTGCCCAGAGGCCCTCACAGGATAATCTACAAGGGCAGGGAAAGTCCCCCTGTTGAAATGCACTCTGTGTCTCAGCAATAAAAAGACCTTGAGCCTCAGTTCTTCACGACAGGGCTGATCCCAGCTAGCCAGGTTGGGCAAGGGAGTGCTGCTGCACAGGCTGCCCTGGATGGAGAATTTAATACTTCAGCATCCTTTATACATTCTTTTCTCCATGGATCTGTTTACTTCACCATGGGATGTAAGTCATTCCTGTTCTTTTCTAAAGGAAGAGCTCAGGGCTCTGATTTAAAAGAAGGCAATTTTTAAGGGGGAAATTCTGTTTTCTAAGTGAGAGACTGGGACAAAATGGTCTGTGATCAGGCACAATGAAATTGTCGGTACAATATGGAAGGTTAGTGCTTGAGAAGGAAAGTTACAAACTTCATGCCTAAAATACTGCATTTTAATAGTGACAAAAGCAGAAGTGAGGTTCAGCATTTTGGTTTATATCTTCATAGCTCAGATGAATCTGAGATTTTTAAAAGTAGCAGTAGTTGTCCAGATGTTTATAACATGAAAATCTGAAAACTTGTGGCATCTTTAGCCTAACTCGGATCCTGCCTGACTTACCAATGAGTTAGGTTCTCCTGACCCTCCCACATAGCAGTGCTGTGGCTCAAAAGAAACACCAATTTCTTATGACCAGTTTATGACCATATTTTTGCCTCTGACAAGGCCGGTACAAAATGCTTCTGAATAATTTTAAAGGTCCCATGGTAGTTACAAATAAACATCCTGCCAATCTGCGTGTAGCCCCTGTTTAGCACATCTGATGTTTGGATACAGAGAAAACTGAGGTTTCATTCTCCACCTCCTGTGAAGTCTTATTGTGAATAATAATGAAAAAAAGTAAATTCATTTTAAAAAAATGTGCAGAAAATTTGATATGATATTCATACAATTATAACTCATATATTTTGCATCTTTAATGCTATGGTTCCCCCAGTTATTCATATCAGAGATATGCATTACCCTGTGGTAAAGACTTGATCTGGATCAAATATAGCCACACAACTGCATTTCTATTGAATTATTCAGAGAAAAAGTGATATGCTATTTATGTCCACTTCATCTCATGTGCTAACTGTAGAAGGACAGATGTGCAGTCCCACATGTAGGGTTCTTACACAAAATTAATCTGTTGAAGAGATTTTTAAAAGTTTGAGCTGACTATGATATGTTGATACCAAACCAGTTTTCTACTACTCAGAACCCAAAAGCCACGTTGCTGCATTGGTAAAACAAAGCCTAGAAAAAATTTTGGTCCATAAGGTCAGAGCAATGCAGAACCCCCTGGGACTGCCCTGACCCGCGGTGGTGCAGGTGGCCCTGGGGCTGTTCCAAGCCCTCCTGAGGTCTCTCTTGGCACAGTGTCTCCTTGGGTGCTTCGGAGCACGGTGAGTAGTGCCTCTCTAATTACATAGATCAAAGGAGCTTTCTCCCACCAAGGAGCAGGACTCTGAAAATCTGTTTCCAGGGACTTTGACATTAAAAAATGTCATAGAAGCATAGAACTGTGGAATTGTTTAGGTCGGATAAGACCTTTAGATCACCGAGTCCAACCATTAACCTAACACTGCCACGTCCACCACTAAACCACATCCCTAATCACAGTCATTTAAATACCTCCAAGGATGGTGACTCAGCCACTTCCCTGGGCAGCCCGTTCCAGTGCTTGACAACCCTTTCCGTGAAGAAATTTTTCCTAATATTCAATCTAAACCTCCTCTGGCACAATTTGAGGCTATTTCAGTGTATGGTCAAATAATCTGACTCTTGATTCAGGAAATTATGTCCTGATGTGAAATTATTTTCCCTAAAATTAGTCTTTACATGTCCCAGACTCTGCAGATTCTTTTGATTTCTCCATAAGCATTTTCTGGTTTTATCCAGTCTACCACAAATACTAGACAGTTATGATATTTGAAGTTTATGTGCTGTGGCTTATGCTAATATTCAGGGGAAAAAAAAAGTTAAGGCCAGAAAGAAAGGCACATTTTTGTTATTGTGAAGTCAACTTTCTGAGCCTATAAAATGCACATCAGTACACTGCATTTTCAGTTTCCAATCCTAGTTCTAAATTGTCTCAATTACTTGCACTGAATACTGTGTCAGTGTGTAGCTGAGATACCAGTATTGAACCCAGTGCAAAACAATCCTTTAAAAATATGTGTATTTGTATTTCCAGACAGATCATGGATTGCTACGGGAAGTATGCAGCTGTCACTTTGACCATTTTGTCTGTATTTCTGCATCTTCTTCATGCTTTCCCAGACGGCGAGTTTCTCATGCAGGGTAAGCTGCTTTCGGTGTTCAGAAATAGAGCAATTATTTGTAAAAAGTATTAATTAAACTTTCATGTGTTTTATAAATGTGGTCATAAATCTGATAATTCAGGTGCATTTATTGACACTGAGATATGAAGATATAATAAATCAAGATAATTTTACTATAAGTATACTTTCTATTACTTCTCTAAACTTGATTTCTCCAGGTCGAGTCTCCAAGATGACTGTGTCTTCATGTTGACATGGATGATCTTAATCCATGAAATGTTATCAAATAGAAATGTTTTAGTTTCTTTTATTCCTGAGAAATAGCAATGTAACATAAAGAACAGCAGAACCATAACGTCTCCTTAAAATATGCAGAATACTTTTCCTCTGTAGATCCCAGAATGTGGGATGTTGGTGGTGTAGCATTCCATAAAAGAGGCATATTAGGAAGATTTTAGGGGTGTTTTGAAGGTTGTGGGGTTTTTTTAATTCAGCCTTGAACAGAATAGGGCAAAATGCAAGCTACAAAAATCTCAAGATCACTGGGTATTTTTAAAACTCTTCTTAATGGTGTTGCCTGAAAACAGGCAATATCTAAGAAGCACTACAAGTCTTGCTACTCTCTTTAACTATCTGTAGCTAACAGGAAATTTTTTAGGGACATCTAAAGCAGTAGACTTACAAAAAAAACTCCACAACTGTCAACAAAATTGAAGAGAAAACCAGAAAAGGATATTTTGCTCTCCTCTCACCTCCCCTCGCTCCAAAGAGAAGAAACACCAACTCCCCAACACAAAAGACAGGATACAAACACAGAGAGAGACTGGCCCAACAGATTTCCTTGGTCACAGAGGCACTAATTGGCCTGGCCTTGGCCAGACACGGGTCTGACCTTTACCTGGAGCTGGGGGAGGCTCTCAAAGTTTCAGACAGTCGTCCCCTACGGCCCTCCCCCTGCTACCAAAAAACCCTGCCAGACGCAAACCCATGACACCAGTGCTTCCTCTTACCACCAGCACTTTCCCTTTCTTTTTGAAAATGAAAATACAGCTGAAGACCAAGTGAAAGTTTCTTCCTTTTATTTTTATGGCAGGTTGTCCAGAGTGCAAGCTAGGGGAAAACAGATTCTTTTCCAAGCCAGGAGCTCCCATTTACCAGTGCACTGGGTGCTGTTTCTCCCGGGCTTATCCTACTCCAATGAGGTCCAAGAAGACCATGCTTGTTCCAAAGAACATTACATCAGAAGCAACATGCTGTGTAGCAAAGGCGTTTACCAAGGTGAGGGTGTGAATGAGACCTGTTTAAGCTTCTTTTTAGGGTGCAATGCTTAGCTGAAGCAATGAATAGAAAATAACATGATTTTGCTTGAGGACATTGGAGAACTATTTGAGGAAAGCATCCTTGGCATTTCTATCCTTTTCGCTTGAGTTATTTCCTCTTTCTAAAGAGGAAATTAAAGTGTCAACCAGTACCAAGCCTGATATTCAGTTGGGATCTGGAAACTGGTGCAGTGCCACTGACCAACTGCTTTGACTCATGACATCTGCAGTTCTGGTGGTGGACTTGTTGTCCCCTCATTTTCAGCTCTCCTGGTTGTGCAACCCCCCTCAAACACGGAGCAGTGTGTATTTGATTTTAATAAGTAATTTTCCTTGCTTCTTTCCTGCATAGGCAGGAGTTCTCTGGGAAGGCGGCTGGTCAATACTATCAATTACCTGTATAGGAATGAGGGACCAAAAGCATCTATGCTCATTAGATTAATTCAGATTGTGTTTTACTTTTAATAATATAACGCAGAGGAGAACTGTAAAGGTATGCGACTATATTAGGCATTTAACACTCTCATCTGGAAGATTCTTTTAAAGATAAATTTGATGTAACAAATGGTGAGCTAGTTGAAAAAAGCTAAACTGTCTGTCCTATGGTGATCTGAATCAGGCTCATTAACCTGACTAGAGACTCAGTTCAGTTACCCACTCAGAGATTTGGTGCCATTTGAGATACCCTGGGGTACTAAAGACATTTGTGTATGGCTGGCAGACACAGGACCCATAAAGACCTTCTAGAGTGGCAGCTGGAGGCTTAGTGAGATCCCCTCTGGCATCTCAAAGGGCAGTTGACGGCTCTGGGTGCGCAGCTGAACAGAGCGCTGGGTCTCTGCTGGCTGTGATGAGACTTACCTACAGACACCTATAGCTGAACCATCCTGGCTCTTCGTCTGAGCTGAGGACAGATCTTTTTCTGGACCACCAACATTATAGTTGCCCTGAGGCAGCGACTGGAATTTGGTTGAGATTAAAAAATAAAGATGACTCCTTGTGTTTGTGGTCTCCTTTTTTATAATCCCCATGTGAAATATCTTAAGGACTCTTCCTGATTTTTCATAGATTGGTTACTTGACACTTTTTGAAAATTATATATTTTAAGAAGTGCCAAATTAAGAATACAAAACTATGTCACTATGCATGTCACTATTGAAAAACTTCTCTTTATGGCTCTGAAAGCCACTGATGATGCAACTTCACAGGTTGGTATTCAGAGGCCGTTCTAGTTCACACCCCAAAGAGCCTGTGTACTTTGTGGTTAAGAAGAAGTCTTCAGACATCTTTTACTTGAGAATTCTGTTTTTACTGTATAGCTAATCCTAATTATTTGTTTTATGTGTGTGTTTTCTTTTTTTAAGATCACCCTTAAGGACAATGTGAAGATAGAGAACCATACAGATTGTCACTGCAGTACCTGCTACTATCATAAATCCTAAAGCCTGTCCCTTTGTTAATGAGCAGGACAACGGTGAACGGAGTATTTGGTTTTTAGCTTTTATAGCACCACTGTGTAAAATCTTATGTTTTCTGGTCAAGACACTGAGTAGACCTTTGAATAAGATTGATGGCTGTTTTATTTCCTCTTTGCTTCTTCATGCATTTAAGTAAGTTTAATTATTTCCATTAGGGATAAAATACAGCACTTGCATGGCAACCGAATGCTTGATCTATTTTTAAAATAAACTGTCAGTTAAATTATCAATGTTTCTTGAGGAAAAATGGTGATTTAATAGCTTAAAACAAAATCAGATTCTGCTGCAGTTAATTTCTAGATTTTTTTTTATGGGAGGGAAGGAGGAAGGGGGAGGGGCAGGAACATGGACATAAAAAAGCAATATTTTTTCTGCATTCATTTAGTGATTAGATTTCTTGAAAACTCAACATTTTGTTTCTCTTCCATTTTTTATTTGCCTGTGGGCAGAAAGTTTAACAGTATATCATCTATGCACAGTCTTTCTGTGCCGTCTTTTATTTTTCTTTGAACTTAATCTACTTCCATACAGATAGGTAAAAGGATGCAGAATCAGTCAATATAAAGAATTGTGTGGTTTCATGTAGCAATAGTGGAACAGAGGAGTAGTACAACAGTATTAGCATTTAGGGTATGCCTGAGCAGCATGATACAGGGCTTTGGTAATTCCCAACTGCAATGTGCTGTCCCCAGTTATTCAAATGGGAAAGACAGGGAATACATTAGTTGAGAACAGGACCACACATAACACAAGACCTTAATATCATAAACTGGGATTTTAGAGATAGTACTTATTCAGTTGTAGCAGGTTGGATTGGGGTTTCTGGAGGAACTGCTTGCAGGTCTGGAGCCTGCCTGTTGGAACTGAAGTGAATTTCACCCTAATGTCTGAGGTGAGAAGATCAGCCTTGCTATGGTCGCTGGCTTGCAAGGGTTTAAATGTACCGACTCAAAAAGTCTCAGATGTATTTGGGGGGGCTTTCCCTGCAGTAGATGCTGTGAGAGCAGCAATGAGAGCTTCTAACGGGGAGAGGGAAGGTTGCCTGGGGTGAGGCTGTGAGGGTGGCTGCTCTGTCCTGTAGTAGTTATTCTAGCATCTCCCAAGGACACTGATCTTGTTGCTTCACAATTCTTACTACACTGGAGGTTTTCAGTCTTCTGGGAAGTTTTTTCTTAATGTTTTATCTATGTCTCATTTGCTTTGACATTACTTTTGGTCAAAAAAGAGGCAGTCCAGTAAGGTGGTCTTTAGGATAAGTTTAATAACAACAGCAGCGTAGGTTTCCACAATGAGAAGTCTAATTTCTCATTCCAGATAATCACTCAGGACGTTACAGGAACACATGTCAAGCAGCTGCTATAGCTGATTCACAATTCCAAGTTGTTGTACAATTTTATTAAATGGGATTGATGTGGGGACTTTTGTAGAAGAGACGGGTCCTGCCTGGGATTTCTCGGCAATGGGAGAGAAGTTGAAAGATGATTGCCTTTGGGAATGGCATTGCATTTTCTCATAACTTTGACAGGACTGAAAGGGAGACCAGGGAAATGCCTTCTCTGAAGTTCACTTGCAGGGGAGATAGGCCTTTTCATCTTGCCGAACTTTTTGGATGATGTCTTACTCAAGTGACCTCCTCTGGCAGTATCAAGTACTTGCTTGTTTATATATAACAGCGCTGCCCATACTAGCAGGTTGGTGGCATAATAAATTTCTGTTTGCATCTCCTGAATCAACTTCCAATATGGAAATTGTATATGCATTGTAAAACCGTAGAAGTATTGAAAAATGGTAACCAGAATGAAACCCATGCTTTAAAGAAGACATGAGATGCTGTAGCCCTGTGACATTCTGGGATGCCTGTTGGTTGGGGTTTGTTTGTTTGTTTGTTTGTTTTGGTTTTCCCCCAGTGGCTTTTTCCCTTTTGCTTGTACAAAGTCATGAACTTCTCCACTCATGGATCCCTCTTCCCCTGCTACTAATGTGGCCTCAGGCATCAAGGTG